CTTAGTATTAATGATCCATGTGCTTTTTATCATCGCTAGTTTTTGCTCTGTTTGTCAGCTCCTAAAGTAGTGGTTCTTACATTTTCCTACATGTAGCCCCCTTTGACATGCATGTCAGAACCCCCCAAGTACGTCCCTTGCTGCTTTCTTTATACCAATACAAAAACAGGGTTGTGCCCATGTCAGCTTTTCTGAGCTATTCTAACCCACAGTGGGGAATGGATTTTAAAGTCAGACTCTGTGACACTGCCCTCTGACCAGCTTACGGGCTGCTTTTGAGAAAGACTGCCCTAGAAGACAGAGCTCGCATGCTGCACTTGGTAATACCGAACATGGTGCCAAGTGCAGGTGCTGCTTCTCAGTCAAGCCACTCTGTGCTTGTGCTGCCACTGACACAGGCCTCCTGCTCTCTGTCCAGTTGCAGGCACCTTTAGCTGCACCATGAAGTTCACCGTCCGGGACTGCGACCCTGACACTGGGGTTCCCGCCGAGGAGGGGTATGATGACGAGTACGTGGTGAGTCTCCCCTGCTTAGAGACGGCTGTGACCCCCTTGAACCACTGAGTGACTCCTACCTGGAGAACATGTTTCTCGGAACCTCTGACATGAAGTCATGGGGTTTTATTCTGCTCAGATCACAAGTGATTAGGGCCTGGACTAACCCTCTGTAACGGGAGTGCATGATGCCAAAAAGAATTGAGGTTTAAGCCTGATGGCTTAAAACACAGCGCACCCTGTTTTATGGCTTTACAATTGGGATAATTACAAGATGAAAATAATTACTTGATTTTCATCGAGATCAATGAGTTTTATTTAAAGTATGGGGAGGGGGATCGTTTTCAGCAGCTTTTAGTTTGCTTATAATTGAGCCACATTAGGGACTGAAAAGCCTTCATAGAATGCATGGAAAGGGTAAAGAAATATCAACCCACTAGTGAACGCTAAGTTCAGAAGGCCCAGTACGGCCCAAACTTGGTTAGGTGTGGGGACACGATGGCTGTGTACCCCCAGGGTTGTAGATGTTGATCTGAATGTGGCTTTTGCCAGGTGTCCTGTTTCCTTGCTTTCCTTCGCTAAAGCCTATTATTGGACTTATCCAGACCTCAGACCTCAAACTAGTTTGGTAGACTTTTTCCTGAGCGCCTGTAAAGGATGTAACACAGAATTAAAAAACCATATTTATTAGCCCCTTCCATCTTTGCTCTGTACTGAAAGGACTTCATTTACTGACTCCTGCTTGTCACCCACTAGCTGGAAGATGTTGAAGTGACTGTGTCTGACCACATCCAGAAGGTTCTGAAGCCTAACTTTGCTGCTGCCTGGGAAGAGGTGGGAGACACCTTTGAGAAAGAGGAGACCTTCGCCCTTAGTTCTACCAAAACTCTTGAAGGTGAGAACAATTTTGCTTATGTATTGCCTGACAGCAGGATGTAAAACCTAACAGGAATATTAATTATTCCAGAAGAACTCTTCTTTAAATACTTCCTAAGCTACTTCACTTAAAAGGCCAGGACTCGTCTTCATCATCTAGCTGAGTCACCAGTGTCCAGTCCAGTGGCTCCCTCCTCACACCACCAGCCCCCGCTTCCCCTGCAGCTCCCAGCACTTCCCGGCACACAGGCAGATCCCTAGGCTGACCTTTTCTGATCCTGTTGCATCAATCTTGTCAACACAGAAGCTGTCAACAACATCATCACATTTCTGGGCATGCAGCCATGTGAGAGGTCAGACAAAGTACCTGAGAACAAGAACTCCCATTCCCTCTACCTGGCAGGTAAGCAACCTCCATTGGATTTCCCCTTTATTTTGTTGCAAAATTTAAAAAGGGGTGTGCATGGGCGTCTCTTGCCCTGCTGTTGCCCCCTTATCCCATTGTGAGTCACAATTTGAAGCCCCATCAAAATGAGTAATTTGTTTTAGCTGTTTAATTTGCATGCTCTTCCTAGGTGGTTCTTTTAAGATGTACATTTGGCCTAAAATACTACTAAAATCTCTCCCATGTCTGTCAATGCCACTACCTCTCCCCATTTGAGTACTCCAAATCAATATTATTGAATACCATCTATGTACCTGGTATCATGGGAATATAAAAGATGATTCAGAATTTGTATGCAGGATTCAATTCCCACCATAAATACAGATCACTAGAAAAGTTAAACTAAAATAATAGGGAATGCAGGCAGAGCATGATAAATTGCATCAGTCAGAGCTTGTTTGGAGTTCTTAATATGGTTTTCCTCACTTTTTTCCTGTCAGGTGTATACAGAGGTGGCTATGATTTATTGGTGAGGTCGAGGCTGGCCTTAGCAGATGGAGTGACCATGCAGGTGACTGTCAGAAGCAAAGAGGGAACACCTGTAGATGTTATCTTGGCTTCTGTTGGATAAGTTTCTATTGGGAAAAATGAAGTTGATGTGCACTTCACTGTGAGAGGGCTTTTAGGCTAGTGGCATGAATTTCCCAAAATCATACTTTTAAAGATTAATGACTTTGGAGAAGCAAATTCAATGTTTGGCCCTGAGCCAGCAGATCAAGCAAAAATCTGTCGTCCTGCATGTTTTGTTTTGTTTTTTAATTACACTTGGTCAACTTTGTTGTGATAGTACAGCTTTGGGTGATCTTGAAAAGCAAATACTATCCTATATACCCCAGCTGCTTAACTTCATTATATTGTTTAATTGAATGTGTGTCTGAAAGCTCCTGACAATGTCGGAAAGCTTTTATCCCAGAGGGGTGGTGGGGGAGGGGAAGGCAGAGTCCACTTTTGTCAAAAGTCATTTTTATTAATAGAAAATAAACACTTATTCCACTTTCAGTTGTTATACTTGAAGTTGCTAATTAAAAAAAAAAGAATTTAAAATGATCACTTAATCCTGTTTTGTCTAAAATAATGTAACTGGCTTAAAAGTATTCAGCACCATTTGCTCACAGGCCTTTCAGAATTTGTTCTTAAAGTTTCTGGAACTTTCCTGCCTGTAAAGTCCAGGAATTGTGGAGCTACGTAAGGAAACCTCCCTGGGACAGCCAGTGAGAAGTTAAGCAATCACCGTAAGTAATCAGTGTACACTCGGCGTGGTAACTTGGACTGTACAACGGTCCCCTCCCCTCCACTTTCGCTCAGGAGGGACGTGCTTTGAAGCACTGAGGTATGAAGAGTCAGACTGTTATTTGCTGTTAGAATCGGTCTTTCCAGCTAATAACAGTACATCTCTGGTATAGATGCTATCGGTCTTTCACGTCTTGTGATTTTAGGAAATTCTGTAAATAGTTTTGAATTTAGTTCAATTTATACAAACGTTAACTATGTTTAATAAGTAACTATGTTTACTACTCTGCCCGAGTGTATGCTGGTTTAGTATCCTTATAAAATATAAGTAATACGTGTAGGTAAATCATAATCTTAAAGCATACCTAGACTACTTATTTAAAGCAAAATCTACTTTAACAAAGTGTCTAATTAGAAGCAGCTGATGAAACTAAATCTGAAGTTACGACAAGGGAGACTCATTCAAAGCTGCGCTGCCTAGAATACTTAAAAAAAAAAAGCATGTGCCCTTAAAGCTATACAAGGAGAGGTAAGGAGGGTTCTTTCCTATTAGAGTCCAATTAGGGTTGGGCCAGAAATGAGCATTTCTAAATATTTCAGAAGAGGCTGTAGAAATGTTAAAGGACATTTTATGCAAAAGAATGTCTGTCTTTCTGCATCAGTGAGTAGTAGTGCTTGTCAGAATTTCCTAATAACACAAAGACAAACGCAAGTCCACACACTTGATGAGATGTCAACGGAATGGGAGGTGAACTATTAGGTCACCCTTAGTCGGAGCTTCTACTGGCTTTTTACTCTATGCTGTTCACCCGTGAGTCAGGTGGACTTGTGTGAGAGTATAGTGTCTGGTGGCCAGGACCTCTCTTGGGCATTTATTCCTAAGAATACACGACAGATACGGGAGGAGGGGAGGTGATACAGGGAAGCTACTCTCTCCAGCTCAGAAGGAGTTGATGAAGCCCATATATGCATTCAAGAAGCCCATGGGATCCTCTAGCTGTGGGTAGTGGCTAATGTGGTCATCCAGAATCGACACTGTGGACCGCGGCAGCGTTTTCCTAGTGGAAGAGAACAGCACGGAGGTGAACTTGAGGCTGGAGGGAGGTAAATCAGTGGGCAGCCCCAGTAAATGCCCCTGCGGACATACCACACTGGAAGGAACCAACAAAGAGCTTATTCAGCTTCGACTTTGGAATTGTATCTTAGGCAGATTAGCTTGCCAATTCCATTTATGACGTACACAGACCAGTTTTTAAATGTTCATAATCCAACAGACAACGACTTGAGCATAGAATACTTTTGTGACACATGGCAAAGCAGGATGACTTCCAGCTCCTTAGAGAAGCATGAGGCATCAAACCAGTGGGCCACACTGTCCAAGTCAAGATAAGAGGAGACGAAGGGGTACTTTGTTGGAAATGAAATGCAAGCTGTTTACTACTGGGTTGTTGCTACGAGGCCATATGAAGGTATGGAACGTTCTTATGTGACAAAGTCAAGATTTCATATTCCGACACCTTCCGCGTAAGTACCCAGAGAAAAGAACCAATGAGCAGGCCCTTTTCCACAGTGAGCTCTTCTCCCACCCACCCTGGAGTCTTATCAGCTGAGGCTGATGAGTTGGCTTTACAATCAGACTAAAGCAAGCATGTCTTACAAACTTTGTCCACTTCCATTCCTTGGTTCCCATGATAGCTTTTTCTTACCTGTCCGCCTAGGTATATGTAGGAGCCGTGACAGTGAAAACAGGCTGTGCCAGTGAAGACAATGTATAACTGAATTTCCTGACCTCACATTTATGTGACAATAAGATTCCCAGGCTCACCCTTTAGTGTATGTCTCCTGGATCGGCCAGTGAGGTCAGAGACGGTGGCTAGAGCACCAGGCAAGCCTGTTCACCACCATCAGGGTGGGGTGAGGCACTAACACAACAAAGCCCCTGAGGGAGACTCACCTGTACAGCTCCAAAAACTCCGGATAGGGATTCACCGGATCCAAGGGCCCGTAGATAAAATGAACTAGGAAAGAGAAGACGAATGAATGACTAATAGCTCTCGCATCTATTCTCCGACCCCCACGCTAAAATTACCTCTCCAAAAAAAAGATTTTAACTAGTTTTTATGATAGAAAATCTAGCTTCTTTTAATTAAGGAAGGCATAAGAAACTTCCAGCATCCGCTTTCTATAAATCCAGGATACTGTCATTCTTTAAGTCTCTTGCGTCAGTTATAATTGACCCTTGACATTTGAAATCAACAATTTCTTGAGCACTATTATGTGTTAGACACAGCACCGATTTTTTTTTAAATCTGTAAGAATGAAGAAACAAATGAGCAGAAACTACCTCTAGCCTCTTGATTAGTAATCTAAATAGCCTCTTATGCCCGGAATTCAGCATTTAACGTGTCAGGCCCTGACAACGCACATAAACCAGCCTAACTCCCACTCCCGACAGTAACACCACCTACCTTAGCACTGGATCTGTGATTTCTGTGCTTCGCTCTACAACACACATCATTCGTGTTCCAGATGTTGAAGAGCGTCACCCGAGTAAAGGATGACCAATTAAATTTGAATTTCAGATAATGGGTTTCTTTTAATATATGTCCCAAATATTGCACAGCACACACTTATCCTTAAAGTATTTGTTGTTTATAATTCAAATTTAGCTAGGTGTCTTATATTTTTATTTGCTAAAGCTGGCAATTATTTTAGCCCCAGAGCACCTCAGTTTTCCTATCAAGATTGTAACATAGAAATACTCACTGGGAATAGTCACAGAGGCCAGCGCTCCCACCCAGCGTCTTCTAAACTTCTTCCGCTGATTGATATACTGTAAGAGGCTATAGGACAAGTAAGTCAGCAGGAGTAGAACAAGAAACTTTCATTGTTACAGGGATGCTAAGGCCTGACATGAGTCATAAGGAACATATTATACGTTCTCTTAATCCAGAAGCAGCCTGGCACTCCTGGGAACGGCCCCCTTAATTTATCAATTTCTGTTAGCCTCTGGAGTGAACCTCCATGTAGCTATGGCAATGGTCATGCCTAATGTTTCTTTATAAATTAGGCAGGGCATAAGCTCTAGGAAGGCTGGAAGTTAGGTTGCCTTATAAGTGACTAAAGCCTAGGCCTAAGGTTCTAACTATGGCTCCATCACTAACTAGCTACGTGATTTAAAGGTGCAATACACACCATTTGACCTGTTTCCTCACCTTTAAAATAAAAGGATTTAACCACATGATCTCTAAATTGACATCGACTTCTAAAATTCAAAGTGTAGAAATTCATAAGCACAAAGCTTCATTCTCTGCCGTTCATCTGACCACAGTTAAAATGGAGAATTTCTCTTTCTACAATGTTGACACCATAGCCACATTTTAGAACTCAAACTCATATATTCTAATTATTCTGCCTGGCAACTCCAAGAGTTACGAACCTCAAATAGCACTTCTTAAAAGTGTTGTTTACGTTTTGGAAAGGAAAGTGTAAGGGAATTTTAAAAGATGGTTTTGTTTATCATTTTTTTATATGAAAATGAATTTTCAGGGTTCCATAGGGACGGGAGTGGGAGGGAGGAACGGCTCCCTCGCTTTCACAGTTCCCAGCAAAGCCATCAGTGGAAGCTATGCTGACCCAGCTGGCCAAAGGACAGGGCCTTATCTCAAGTCATTATGGATATCATCATTGCCAGGTCCCTAAGTGAAAGCAGTATTTGAACCAGGGTGTGGGAATGCTCTGTACAAGACAGAGAAATGTCCCCTCTCAATCCTGGTGGCTACAGAAAAGATATGAAAAAAGGAAGAGACTTGTACTTTGAGAGAGGCACTAAATGCCTTTTACAACTCTGATTAGTCATGTTAAAGCAGTCAGTATTAACAAAATGTCCCAAGGAGGATTTGCCAAGTCAATCAGCCAGTTATAACTGAATTAGCATGAGAACTTGCAGTTGTTTATCTAAACTTTGTGTGCCACATGCCTCAGGGCTTCCTCCAGTCTGGATTCCTTCCTTCTTAGAAAGTCCAGAGCATGACTTTTTTTGGTTTACCCTGTACGTCACAACCAACCTTCTTGTGAGAGGAAAGAGCCAGTATCAGAAGAGCAATCCCACAGCTCCCCACATCCCAACAAAAGCCTCTCTGGAAACCAAAGCAAAGGGTTATGTCTTACCTGTCGATGACCAAATTCCCATCATTGTTGCGTATCCCTGCCCACATGTCCCACAGCTCACTCTCAGAGGGTCGGGTGTACGGCCCGAAGACCGGGGTGAGGCTGAAAGAGTCCAAAAAAGCAGAAAGATAAGTGTGAGAAGGATTCAGAATGTCAACTATGACTGGAACCTCAGAGGTCGCGTAGGCTGACCCTTAACTGATTTACAAATTCCTTCTACTACTACCATGGTAAGTGGCCAACACCTTTGCTTTAAAATATCAAACCCTAGGATTTGGCCCAGCATCTTAGTGGCAGCCACCTTCCCAGGCTGCAGTGAATCAGTCTCTGACAAGGACTTACCCTCGCGAGAATACAAAGAAGTTCATCAATCGAGTGAGGATGGGTGACAGCACGCCTCCATCTTTGAGAAGCTATAGGTAAATAAATAAAAGTAAAAATCCAGAATCCAGAGAGAAAAAGACGACTAATGAGGACAAAAGGTTTTATACAAGGAACTAAAACATGACTTGAGCCAAATCTCCTACTGAAAGGTTTCATCATTGGCTTTTAGTTTTTTTGTTTTGCCTATCCACATTCTTCTCTCACGGAAAACAAACCTATTTCTAATTCCCTTTAAGATAACATTTCTACACTTTACTATATCCCTAAGACGTTTAACTGACATATTCAACTTTACACTATAATCCCAATTTGTTCAAACATCACGCTAATGACACAAATCTTTAGATCGCTGTATTTCTCCAAACATATGTTGCTCTCTTATCCTCAGAAAGTTTTAGGCTTTTTTGCAGAGGCCATTTCCACTGCTTTATTTGCATAATAAGGAAAAAAACTAACTTCATTAATGTAAATTGATGAGGAGAAGGATTTTAACTAAGGCCCATTACAGCAGGAATGGCCCTTAATATTAAGTTCCCAGCATTATGTACGGCAGTCTAAATCTTAACCAAGGATCTAGTCAGTGGAGTAGCCAACCTTTTGGAGAAGGAGAGGACGGTGAGTCTCAGGAAATATACCTGTAGGAGAAAAGACTTATGTTAGTCACTTTCTAAAACTTTAGGGAAAACGCAAGCCCTTTATTGGAGACTATCCACCTTATTCACTGTCACCTTTGGGGCCTTTACAGCTAAAAACCAAAGTACAAATAAGAACTTAATATTGTCATCTAATTCCTTCTCCAGGGAATTCTGGGTTTTAATAGGTCAAATTATATCCCACTGGGATTACTTTCCTGATTGTAAAGGTAGAAAAACAGGAAAAATAATGTATGCAGTCATCCATACTGCTGAGTAGCCTCTAACTCCCCTCAGCGTTTTCTTCCATCCTCAGAAAAACACAGTGCTTTTGATTTAGAAAATAAACCAGAGATTTTTCAGGAAGTGTAGGTCCTTAAAAAAAAACAGCCAAACCTAGGTTTTTCCTTTTCCATTTTTCTTCAGAGTCAATGGGAGAAAGCCATGAGCATTACTTATAAAGGGACAGACACCTCTCCCAATCTGACCTGAAGGTATTCAGGGGATATTTGGAGATTCATGGATTTACAGGCCAGGCTCAATGAAACATCTCCAAAAAGTCTAATCAAGTGTTCACTAATTCCTAATGGAAACTTGGCACTGCCAATTAAGAGTTTATGAAACTACCATGGTATTAGAGGCACCTGTGGCTTCATTTCAACTGTGTGCATAACCTGCTGTCGTTGTTCTAGACATTTCAAAATACTTACACTCCTTACTACTTCTAATAACAGTTGTTACTAGACCCACTAGATCTTGCTATGTAATGATGCATTTAAAAAGGCACACATTGTAACACAGCTTTTATTAACTATATGTCAATATAGTTTCCTTCATAACCTTAACTCATTTTATTTTCTATATTTAAAACCATTTTGAGAAAGGGTCAATAGATCTCATCAGATCACCAAAGTGGTTCATGGCACGGAAAAGGTAAAGATTCCCAGTTGTGTGTGTCTGCGATACCATCAGATTACCATTTAGATGTCACTGTGATATCTAAACGTGGCCCACGTCACCTTCCACCCAATGCCAAGGCAATTACCTCCATTTGACAGACAGAGACTCTTTATGGTAAGCCGACCAGATCGATTCTGCTTGAACCTAGAAATGGAAGGGAAACACATCTGACTGAGTTGACCCGTACCAACGCGCCGGCTGAAGACAGGCTTCCATGGCACAGGGCTAGAAAGAAGCCAGGGTCGATTTACTTTTCCCAGCGCCTTACAGCTGTGACACCTGTGCAGAGTACAGCAGTCTATGGCTTCACTGACCTATAGAGCAGCTCCTGAGCAACAATGTCTCCATAATCATGAGACAAAAGGTTGATCCGGCGGTTCTGGAGCCCCAGATGCCGCAAAAGCGCCTCCACGATGCTGGCCTGCTCAAATATGGAGTAGTGATGTGGTCTCTAAATGAAGGAAAGCCCAGAGACACAGGATGAAGTCATGATGACGCGTGTCTGCCAGCCTGACCCCTCCATCTCGTCCACCCCCACCCCTCAACACGGCTTACCGGTTTGTCACTGAAGCCAAAGCCTAAGAAATCGAGGGCAATCACGCGATGAAACCTCAGCGTCAGACCTTCCCAAATCTACAAGAAAGAAAGGGATGATTTTGAACTTGTGCGTCCTGCCCCTCCTCTCCTCCATCCTACACCAACAGGAGTTTCATCCCTTTTTCACCTTAACAGACTTCAATAAAGGGAAAATCACATGGAGCCACCACAGGCCCACAGATGATCCTCTTGGAAAAGCGCTTTATTCCTAATTATGAATCTCTATGGAGGGAGGAACTTCAGCATTTTTTAAACTTGGCAATGACCTTACCAGGTTGCCAGAGTTTTTTACTCCTTTACAGTAAATGAAAAACAGTTCTGCATTGAATCCTATTTTATTAAGCAATTCAAATATGCAAGAGCCTTCCAATGCTGACAGTCCTTGATTTGGGATAGTAGGACCTAGAACGTCTGATTTCATTACCTTGTACCAATCATAGCTGGATGTTGGGAAGCCATGTAGAAGCACGACTATCTCAGGACTTCCAACCACACCCACAGAATCTGGGAAGAAGGAAAAAAGAGATCTATTAGGCCGACTACATATAAAGATAATCTTGATGCTATTAAATCTAAGTAATCTGGCATAAAGAACAAGAAATCCTGCCCAAGTTAATGAAATTAAAATCACAGATTTCTTTTTTAAATGCAAACGTATTGCTTTAGGTAAAAACAGGCATTTGATTTTTAAAAATCTGTACATTAAAAAAATTATAAATAGCATACTTTATATGAAAATACTTAAAGGGAGTCTGCTTAATTTCACCCAGTTTTTTAAAAAGTATTTCTCCCATTAGTCTGTATTATTACCATGCAAATTGCTTTTCACAGTAAAAAGTAAACTTTCACAGTTAAAAGTATACAATCACAATATATACACTACAGATTCTTTGTATCTTATCATTAACGGTCTCACAAAAATTTTCTAAAATATATAACAGCAATTTGTCTTCAACCTGGTGAGCACCTTTGTTTATACTATTTGGCCAGCACTTTTATTTTCCTCAGAAGAGACCCATTCTACTATCAAAAGTATCATGCTCAAACTATTGCACAATTCTAATAACTATTAAGAAAGGGTTAATCAAGACAGACATGAACATTTTTTAATGCATAAACAGATTTTAAATTAGTCAAACATTTAAACAGTAGAAAACCTTGCTAAAAATATTAGATTAAAAACAAAACAGTCATATACTGCTAGTGGCATGAGAATTTGATAAGGTTTGCAAAATATTTTAATTAGAAGCAATTAAAAATTGTATCTCCTATATACATATCCTAGACATCTTATTCTTCAAAATCCATGCAAATAAAATCATTCCATTTACAACTAATATAGTTTGTAAATATAAAGAAAAATACATGAAGATTTCCCTTCAACGTTAACTAAAACATTGAAAAACTGTAAACAACCTAAGTGACCAACATAAAGAAAATTATATACTTACTTAATTGAATATAGCAAATGAGAGGAGGTCAGGAGCAATAATGAAAAACGGTTTATGACAAACATTTTTCGTTATTGCTCTTGACCCCCGCCCAAAAGGAATCTTTTCCAATCGCGTTTCCCCAAGTTCTTTACCTATAAAATGAGGTTAATGGCACCTATCTCCAAGTACTGTTATAAAGATTAAATAAGAAGACTGAAAACATAATTCAATGCCTAGCATATGGTAATTACTAGATAAGTAACAGTCATATAACAGTAATTATCACTGGATTATACAAAGGTATAAGACTTAAATCACATTTAATTATGCATATAACAAATAATCTTTACAGAAAACGCAATCAGGAATTTAGGGGGAAAACAGAACCAGTGGTAGCTTTATCTATGAATACTGTTTATATTATGCAACACTAGGAGCACTCAAAAGAAAAAAACCAGTATCATACTATCAATACAAATCAGGCTATGACAAAAAATTATACTAAAAAGTCAGTTCTACAGAGATTAGAATCTCAATTCCACCAACCCCGCCTTCCCAGCATTTTTTTGTTTGGTTTGGTTTGGTTTTTTTATTTGTTTTTGGTTTTGGGGGGTTTTTTTTGGCGTTTCCTTGCTGTCAAGTTAAGGGGGGAAATTAGGCCAGTTCTTCAAGCACACTTCACAGAAAAAGGGTTTTCCCCGCCATCACTGAAGAACAACAGAGACCAATGGACACACAATAAGTACCTCAGTGGGACCTTCAGGGTTCTGGTCTTACCTTGGTAGAAGATGCGCAGTCCCTTGTAGGTGAAAAACTTGCCTGATGACTTCCAGGAGTGAAGAGCAGGGGAAAGCTGGGGCGGGGGGATGTGCAGATAGGCCGCCAGCAGGGGCACAGCCAGGAGCCCCACCTGCACCCACCACTCCCTCATCCTGTGGGAAAATCAGAGACCCGGGGTAATCAGTCAGGTGACACTGTCCACACCTCTACAAGCCCCAAACCGGTAAGATTGGGTAAGAAATGTCTGTACCAGGCGGTGCCTGCCTCGCCCTCTCTATGAACCATGGCGGAAAGTTACAGTGAGAAAAATGTAAGCGCACCTCTGCCAGCTATGGCAATCACCATATTTGTTCCCCATGCTAATTTTAAGGGAAAAACATATTATTTTAATGTGTAATCTTCCTCGTCTTCTCCCCATTTTAATCCTTCAGCCACTCCCCTTGTGCTGTTCCTAAGACCTGCTGGAGAGGTTTTTATGTAAAGTAATAAAAAAAAATATATTAAGTATCGTGTACCTTTTCATTGACTTTTATCAAAGCTTCCCAGGAAAAAAAATTCCTTCACATTTACTCTAAAAGCTCTACTACCACCAATACAAGGTTTTATATATATGAGATATATATATATATATATATATATATACACACACACACACATTTTTTTAACTGTTTTAAAATGTATGTAGTAACATCACATGTCCTCAAGCAGAGAACTGATTTTGATTTTCTATTTATCAGCCCTCTGACCCCAGCGAAGCCCCGTTTGGTACTACTATCTAGATTTGTGCTGAGAAGCCGCCCAGGGTAAAGGGGCTGTGAAAGTAAAAGGCAGGTGCACTGCATATTCCAACATAAGCAGCTTTATCATGCCCTGAATATCCAATCTCTTGAGAGGTCAGAGCAGCAGATTATATTTCTGCTTTTTCTTAGCAGACTCTTGAGGAAGCTCCCATTTATTTCATTTCTTAGGACTTCCCCACCCCTTCCCCCCCCAAAAAAAAATAATAATAAGGCAGAATTCATACCCATATCTCGGCACTGATTTTGTCAAGAGCATGGCTTGCACACCCAACCTTCCTTCCTGCACCCAGGACTTCAAAGGTCCAGGTCGATTTATCCATAATGACAATGAGTGCTAAACAAGCATTAGAAATAGTCCCCTCTGTTTCTAGTTTATCACCTCTGATGGCCACCAGGGAAAGAATTACCAGTAGAATGTAAATTCTCTCAAAATGGCCATACCTTCTAAGACTAAAATAAGAAAACAGAACTATACATAAGAGAAATGAATTGCCCAAGCCCTGGTGGAAATGGCTTTGTGTCTGTACACACCACATTACCTGTAATCTGGCCACAATCCCTACCCATCACAAACTATTCCAACTCACAAAATACTTTTTTTCTTAATTTAAAATAAATAATGCCTGTAGTTCCAGGCGTTAATCTAAAATAACATCTCTTAAAGAATATAAACTCTTTAGCCTATTTTTTTAGGTATCACTAGGGCAGTCCTTTTTTTTCCCTCCAAAGTTCCTGTCCATAAAATAAACCCAGTCAGTAATTTGATTCTACCTTTCAAGTTAATATTAATTAAAAACGACTGAAAAAAATTCCTAGAATATGATCATTATATCACATTTTTCACCCCATAATAGTAGCAGGCTACCTCCCAATATCTCCTTGAAAGATGAGATGACAAAAACCATTAGGTTTAGATTGTCATTTTCTCAGAGCTATCGGTCCTATACTTCCACTTATACATTTTCACAGTCGCATTTCATCACGCCTTTATCCCCACGCTTCTCCTCGTTCATTCACGGGTTCCAGCAGCAGGATATCTGCAATGACTCAGCAGAGAGCCAGGAAAGGGTTACTAGACCAGCAAGCAGAAGAAGCCCCCCCCCCAATTAGGGGGGTGAAGGGAACGACGTACACACCCTGCTCCTGGACACCCCCACCTTCCTTCTCTTTTACTCCAAGAAAGCAAAGAGGCTACCCCTCAAGAAGCGGTTTTCTGTCTTAATTAATTCAACAAAAATGCCCCTAACGACATTTTAGGATTTTTTTTGTAGGGAAGCAATCTGACAGTAAGCAAAAATAGATTAAACATTTTTTTTACCAAAATCTCCATTATTTGATGAGCCATGAGTCAAGAGTATAAATTCAGCAAACCCCAGTACAAACCTTCTGGAAATTAACCTTTCCGAACCCTGATTTCTTCATCTTGTAAATAGGAAAAATACAATTTATTTAATACCACCAAACCTGCCCACCTAACGCCATCGCCGCAAGACGAGGAACTACTTTGCAAACCGATGCAAGCAATTCATGTATAACATGGTGACTGGTCACATTACCATGCTCAGCTTCTTGTTACTGAAATCTCAAAAATACTTACGCTCGGTGGTAAGGTAATGCAAGTTCTAGTCACACCTATGCGGTAACTCACACCACGGCGATACCAGGGTCTTCAAATCCTCAACTGCGCCACAGCAATATAACCCGAGGCTAGAAATCCTAAATCGCACCACAATACCTGGCTCTTGCAATTTTAAATCGCGCCAAGGCGATGCAGGGGTCTCAATATCCTAAATTCTGCCAGCGCGATATCCGATGTTAAAATCCTAAATCGGCGCCAAGATGAAACCCGGGTGTGGAAGTCCTAAATCGCACCACCGCAATACAGGGGTCGTGAAATTCTAAATCGCGCCAAGGCGATGCAGGGACCTAAACATCCTAAATAGCGCCAGGGTGATAGCTGATGTTAAAATCCTAAATCTCACCAAGGCAAAAACCCAGGTCTAGAAATCCTAAATCGTGCCAGGGCGATGCCGGGGTCTAAAAATCCTAAATCCCGTCAAAGACGAAAGCAGGGGCGAGCAATCCTTAGTCGCGCCAGGGCAATGATGGGGGGGGGGTCTAAAAAAATCTTAAATCGCGCCAGGGCGACGCTAGGGTCTAAAAATTCCTAAATCAGGGCGATACCGACTTCGGAACATTCTCCTGCGTGCGGAACGGACATCCCCTCCCAAGCAGGCAGAGGGTTCAGACGACGGACATGCGGGCCCCCCGTGGGGTTGCCCCTCCACTGCGGGAGTCGCGGCCAGGCAGCTCGGGCTTGGCCGCCCGGCTCCCACCCGCGAGCCTGCACCCCAGCAGCGCAGGACGGCGGCTTCGAGCCGGCCACACCCCCTCGCGCCGGCCGCGCACCCACCTGCGGAGGCGATCTCGGCGCACCATGGCGGCGTCTTATCCCATGCCGCGCCGCACACCGATCCCGAGTTCAGGGGGCGCCGCGGCGCCCGCAGCCGCGCAGAGCCGGCACACAGCCCGCGAGGGCGGCGCCTGCCGCAGCGAGCAGCGAGCGGCCACCCGGGCGTGCGCTGCGGCACTCCGCGAGGCGCGGCTGCCGCAGAGGAGGCGCCGGGATGTGCTGGTTGCCGCGGCAGCGCGGAGCCGGCGGGCGCCGACTTTTAGAGCCCACTGGCGCCCCGCCCCTGCCCGCCCACCGCGCCGCAGTGCCCCGCCCACCGCAGCCACCGCCCCTCCCTGCAGCCCGGCCGCTGCTGCGGGAACGCAGCGCCCCTCTCCCAGCAGCTCCTCCAAGGGGCACCTTCAGGGGTGTTGACCCCCCGCCAGCACCCCACTGCTTCCTCACGGCCCCCCAACCCTGAGCTCCAAGTTCTGCAGCAGCAAGCCTCCTCTGGCGAGTTAACACTGCAGGAAAAGATAACACATCCCTGAACCCCCCGAATCCTCCCCTTAAGACCACCCACAGGCCCCAGCCCCAGAAATGGCCGCTTGACCTCAGGCGTGGCACCCATGGGCTCTGAACTGCGTGACTGCTGGATTCGAAGCAGCGGTCCACGAAGCGCCCGAACACTCCTAGGTCCCTAACTGCGGGGAACCACCAAAGGCACAAACAATGGGCTATGAAACGGTCAGCTCCGCTGGACCTACCACGGGGGGTAACGGGCTGCTTCATGGGTCGGCCGCGACGGAGCAAAAAGGTCAAAACAAGCGGAAAGTCTGGATCTCTTTGTCGCCCGCTGCCGCGGCGCCCCGCATGTTCCCTTTGCAGCAGCACGACGTGGGCCTCATTCTGGAGCCCAGCCGCAGTCTTCCCGCGGCACCCGCTCCGAGCAAAGGGCCCACCCCTCACTAGAAAGAAATCATCGGTTATGAGACTAAAGGTCCCCTTTATGGAAGATCAAATTCACAATGCAGGGGCCCCAGTGATACAGAAAAGAGAGAAGGACCCCCCCATCCATAATCCTTTAAAAGGCATCTATTACGCCTTTGAAAAGACAAGGGTAGAGAATCACAGTGACTGTGTTCCGTTTCGGGCTGTAAATTGAAATTCTGACGAACGCGCTGTGCTGCGAACAACCGAGGCAGCCGGAGCAGTGCCGACTCCCTCCAGCGGGGGCGCTGCAGGTCTCTCTTCTACTCACACGCGCTCGCCACTCCTCAGCCCAGAGCGCAGGCAACGTGGAAGGCAGAGGCCAGTCCAGCCAAGGCCATCCAACGCCTGACAGTGTGCCAGGGAGCCGAGGGTCACCAACCACACACATGGCAAAAACCACCATCTATGAACGTGTCATCAAAACGTGCGGCGCAATCCAGGGTACACTTCTGCTGGTGTCCGATTAAGAGGGTCATGAAACGAATGCTTATTTAGCACCTACAGTACGCTAAGAGCCAGGGATATAAATACAAACCAGAATGGCCCCTGCCCCAGAGCAAGATGCTGGGGAAGACAGACAAGAACCGACGCGGCTTTAATCTGGTCACATTTTGTGAGAGTTTGGCCCCCTCCGCCTAACATGTAAGGCCCTCAAAGGCAGAGCCCAAGTTATTATTCACCTTTTGTGTCCCCAGAGCCCGCCACAGTGCCGGCCACAAAGCAGACCCCTAATAAATGCTGCATGAATAAGTACAAGAATTTGAGGGCGCACAGGGGAGGAAGTAATTAAGGGAAGGGGGAGAAGGGTTGTCTTGAATGATGAATAGACATTTACCAGAGAGACAAAGGGCATTCCAACCAGAGGGGACGGCATTCTCAAAGCACCGGAGGTGCAGGAATGCACAACCTTTGGGGGAAACTGCCAGTCCTTTGGGCTGGGGTCCCGACAGGCAAAAAATTAGGCTGGAAAGAGTATTTCATCCTAAGGAGTTTGGAATTTGTCCTAAAGAAAATGAGAAGCCACAAATGGATTTAAACCCTTTATGGCCTTAATTGGTTACTTAACGAAATTTAAATTAGTCCCTTCACAAATGGAGGATTACCTACTTTAACTAACTACCACCTTTAAAGGGCTGAATTAATTACTTTGCAAAATTTAAATCGGTCCTTTCAACAGGGTAAAGGCTTTCCTATTTTAACTAAGACAACAATAGTAACAACCTTTGCATTACATATATATTTTTTTCATATTTATTGTCCTACAAACAATTCCATCCTTTCATTCTCACCACGCCAGAAGCACCCGCATCCAAGATGAAGGCGATTTTGTATTTCATGGACTGAGCGCTCACAAAGGACCTAATTCTGAAATGTAAGGAACATGTCCACCCACATGGAACAAGTGGGCAGACAGGAGAGACCGTTGAGGGCAGGAGAAGGGGACCAAGGGAAGCTGTTGAAGATAACAGGGATTCTAAGTTCGCCGCTCAAGAGAAACACTCCCCGACAGAGTGGCGAGGAAGAACTTCCTTGGAACAGGAGGGATGGAGGTCGAGAAGGACTTTCAGCCCGGAACTTAGGTGGAGAAGCGGCTCTGTTCCCACAAACCTCTAGCACAAAACCTAGAACTAGAAAAACGCCGAGGATACTGAGAGGTCTGCTTGGCTAAAATGGGGAGTGTGCTTTGGAAAAGTCAAGGGAGAAAAATCTAGCGATGAGGACCCAGGAACCAAAGAGTTAATGACTTTCCTGACTGTCCCTGACTTACTTCCAGAGTGAAGCTTCCTCCACCGGAGGAGAATTTGGCCCAATGTATAAATAGCCTTGGAGCCCCTGAGAAAACATGCAGCCATACATAAATCCAAAGTCGACCTCCAGCTTGCGCTCAGCTCCCTCTTTCAGTGGCTGGCTACAGATGCGACACGTGACCGACATGCCATGCAGCAGTAGTCCCTCAAGGAGTAGCTTATGGTACATTCCTGTCACATTCCAGCTCTGAGACAGCCCCACATAAGACCTCCAATTTGTGCAAAAATTAGTGTAGAGAGCGCAGCATTTATTAGCTCACAGACATATGAGATCAGTGGGGCTGGTATTAGGGGTTCAATAATCATGATTTGTCTAACCTCCGTGTGAGACCCATAATATGACCAACACAAGGACATGTGTGGAGATAACAGGACAGAAGTGGGACTGCTACTTTCAAGAGCCATAGGTACCGATTCAAAATAAACTGAAGAAGCTCAAGAATGGAGAAAATTGGTGGAACAGCAGCATGTGTTAAAGAGACTTAGGGTTTTAATTGACAGCGAGTATGTGTTATGGCTCCAAAAAGGCGACTGTAGACTAATGAGAGATACCCAGCATAAGCTAATCCTACTCTATTCTGCTAGTTACACATCACAAAAAAAGTATTTTATTCTGCTCCACAGGGCAGATATTAAGAGACACGTAAACAAAGAAGAATTTGTTCAGAGAAGATCAATTAAAATACATTGCAAATTATGTCACTGAAGATGTAAGCGCTCTCATATTTTAACCTACTATAGCATGGATCCTCACCCAATTTATCCCTAATCCTCACAATAACTTGTGAGTATTTCATCCACAGTGTTCAGAGAAAGCTACAGCAGCTCAGAGCACTAAGTGTTAGTATAAGGGACAAGGAAACTGAGCGCAGATGTGTCTGGCTCCAAAGCTGGCGTTCTTTCCACTACCCCACACTGCCTCCCTGTTTAAAATAACCGTACATGTTTAGTTGGAAGAAAAGAAGCCTTGTGGAGTGAGTGGAAGAAGGAAATGTGTTAGCAGTCCTCAAATATTTGTGGAATCAGCATCAGACATTTTATTCTGTATGGCTCCAATGAGTGCAAATTGTAGAGAAACAGATGTCGATTCAACATAAAGAATTTTCCAACAGTCGAGGCTGTCTAGAGACTGGGTGGCTCAGCCTTTTGGGGACATGACAAGTTCCCTGTCACTAGGGGCTGGGTAACCCCTGTGGCAGGTTTGCAAGCTCTGGATGAATGCATGAATGACCTCTAAGGTTTCTTCCCATCTGATAGAAACTAAGGCTCACAGAGGTATTGAAACTTGGCCAGTGTGACCCTTCTACTGAAGGGTCAAATTCACAACTGGGTCTTCCCTGGTTGTCCCTCAGCCCAGAGCTCGTTTTACAACATGCTATTCCATAGTGAGGGCAAGACAAATTAAAGAAATCATCACCACAATCACATCAACTTCCCTCTCAACCAAAGGTAAGCCATGTACCCCAAAAGTGACTGGTGTCTACCTCCCTCTTCAGGCTTATTTTTGGGTAAAAGTCTTTGGCTGCAAAAAGTTCAAAACATGAGTGGTAGAGGAGAGATGCAACAGAGCTCAAAACTCCATTTACCCGATAAAATGAATCTAAGTGACCGATAGTCGTTTCCTTAGATTGCAGTATTACTGGTCACCCCTAAAGTATCTTTACATACCCTCTGCGTTACTGGGCACATTCCATAACCCCTCACCTGGTACTATTCCATTGCCCCACGCCTAGGGTACATCTTAGACACTCACACAAACAAATAGGTTGGAAGATTCCAAACAAAACCGTATCTTGCATTTTTATAGCTCTTTACCCTTTCACATAAGAGTATATTATCTCATCTGACGCTCACCACAGTCCTCTACAGAAAACAGCTACTTTCTTTAAAACAGCCAAGCAATTTCCTAGCTGCCTGGGGCACACAACTCAAAAAAAAAAAATCCTACTTTGCAGATTAGATTATTCCTCCAGCCTGGATGAGTCAACCAGAAGCAGGTGTTTCCCTTTTCCTCATTTGCTATCGTCATCACCTCATACCTCCTTCAGCTGTCCCCCGCCCCCATGCCCTCCAGGGCCCCCAACCTCCGCTACCAGTGCAGCCCTTCTTCCCGGATCCCGTTACTACCGCACTTGCTAGGCACCGCGCCACACTCGCTGCCCCAACTCGCACGGAAAACCGCCCACCCGGCGCCGTGCGGCCGCGCCCTTCACCCTCGCCCGGGCCCCTGTGGCTGTGACCTTCCTAACCACCGCCACTGCTGACCCGAAGTGGAACTCCAGCCTCCAGTCCCTGGAGGGGCGGTCAAGCCGACTCACAGAATGACTAAATGTAGGGGCGTCAAGCCTCGGGCGAGGCTGAGGGGACTTCTGTGTTCTCCCCCAACCCCGGGCTCTGGGCCATGACGACGGAGGACCTCGCCCACGTGGCCCTGCCACCTCGTGCGGCCACCCACAAGCCCAGCGTAGTCCTGGACGCACCAGCACATCCTCACGCCCTCCTGGGTTAGCGGGCCATTAGCACTCCAAGGTTGGCCCCCAGAGTTGGTGTGGTCTGCGCACACTCTCCACTCCACGTACCAGGTGATGCTTCCAGTGAACTGGGAGGGTGAAGGTGGAGGCTGACTCCTTCCCCACCTGTCTCTTACCTAATTCAGGTTAAGACCTGGGCTACAAGACTCCGTCTTTGGCGAGCCAGTTACGCATGCTCTTTCTGAGGCCTGAGCTCGCCTGCCTTACCCCAGTGCCTGGAGAAGACCCAGCCAAGCTGCAGGATACCCAGCTCTGGGCTAGAGCGTCGCCACCTCTGTTCACCTGCCCCTGATTCTCAAGCCCAACATGTGCAGAGGCCTTTTCCTGACCGGGCGTCAGCGCCACCTATTGCAAAGGGCATGAAATGGCAGAAAATAACCTTGATAAAATCTAAGGGATCGGATAAAGGAAAATAAAACTTTTATAATGCCTAATGTAGTTTTACATGATAAAACTGAAGACCAAAGAAGCGATATTTTGATAGTTAATTATGTAGATATCTTGGGTGAGCTTTCCATATCTCAGCCATTCCCCTAACTGCACAGTTACTCTAACGACTCCCAAATCTACATCTCCAGCCCTAACCTCTCCCCCAAACTCTGGAGCCATATTTTTGCCTGTCTTCTGTTCATCTTCACATGCATGGCCCGCAGGCATCTCATACTCAACATGGGCTAAGTGAAATTCACTCCCCTTTCTCTCTCTCTCTCCTTCCCCAGAACCAGTACTTTCTTCTATATTCTCTATCTTGGTTAATGTCGTTACCATCCTCTCCGTTCTCCAGCACACAATCCCCAATATCTGTGACTTAATGGAATGAGGCTCAAGAGCCAGACAGCCTTGGTGTAAAACTCCCAGCACTGTCCCTCCTTTCCCCTCCTAAGTATCTCTTAAATACATCTTGCTTCCCTCCGTTCCCATCACTGTTTGCCCTTGTTCAGGCCTCATTATCTCTCACCTGGACTAGTCTGCCTCCTAATTGGTTTCCAGGTCTCCACCATCACACCTTTCTAATCCACCATTCACACACCTGCCAAAGTGATTTTTCTAGAATGCAAATCTGATCACATCTCTTTTCTTATTAAAACTCTTTACTGACTCCCTACTGGCAATGCTAAATTTAAACTCTTTTGCTTCATGCAAAACATTTCAAAACCTGGTCCTTGCCTTCTTTTCTTTCTTAGCACCCAAAGCTTAACCCCAAAACCTCATGATCTGACCAAACATTATTAATTGTAGTTTCTCCCAAAACATCGTGCATTTTCCTTTCTCCCTGCCTTTACATGTTCTTTACCCCTATCAAATACAGTAAGTCCCCCACTTAGGAACATTAGAGTTGCAAACTTTCACAGATGCAGCCAACCATACACTCAAGTCGGACTTAGGAACGAATCCGACTTACGAACATTCTCCCTAAACGGAACTCCTTCGTAAGTCGGGGACTTACTGTATATTCTTCCCAACTTTGGCTACCTAAAAAAATTCATTCCTCAAAACAACTTAGTTATCACATCCTCTTGCAAGCCTTCCCTGAAACCTCCCTACAGAAATAATCACTCCTCTGTTCCTCCTCTATGCTATTTCTGTTCCTTCTACACAATGCAACAGTTGCACTTTTGATGATGTCTGCATATCTGTCTTGTCTCTTCTACCACACTGCTGAGCTCCTGGAGGACAGGGACAGCATCGTATTCATTTCTGAGTCCCTTGTGCCAACTCAGCATTTTATAATAATGACGATCAAGACCAACAAAGCATACATTTGTTGATCACTATGTGCCATACTCTGTGTTAAACTCCTTATGTACATTGTATTATTTACTTCTGATAACTCTATAAGAAAAACTGTTATTATCCTAATTTTACCAATGAGAAAACTGAGGCTTTGAAAGATGAAGGTGTTTGCCCCAGGTTGAACAGCTGATAAGTTGTAGAGCCAGGATTTGAACCCAAATATGTCTGTTTATGTTTATCTACTTATCAAAAGGGTTTGTAGAATTAAATTGACATTTGAAAAATCACAGATCAGATTTTTTTTTTTTCCGCAGTGGCCTGGGTGTTCTTTATTGCCTGTCCCTTGGGTTGAGGGAGGAGCCAGCACAAAGTCCTTCTGGACACCCAGGCCCCACAGTGGGATCAGGAAGAAGCTGAAGCCCTGCTCCAGTGTCTGGGTCGGGAGACATGCCCCGGTACCGTGGTCCTCGGAGGCCTGAAGGGCCTGCTTGGCTGTGAGCAGGTCGCTGAGGGGGAGCCTGCGCTGACTGGAGAAAGCTCAGGCTCACATGGTCCACCAGGTGTAGATAAGGCTCAGGAGGATGAAGATGGCGACCGAGAGCACCATGTGCTTCCGGTTCTCTTGCCGAAGCAACTTGAGCTCCTTCTCATAGTTGGAGGCTTTGTTCATCAGGCTGTTTTTCTCCTTCTCCAGAGACCTCCTGGCCTCTGGACTCAGCTCTGCCCCATAGAGCCTGGAGTTCACAGCTTCCAGGTCCCTCCGACATTGTGATAACTTCTCCTCCAGCCCATCGATCTCTAGAGCGACGCCCAGATTCTCCCGCTTCTTTTTAGTCATGTTAATTGCCGGGATCCCCCAGTCATTATTCCAGATCAGATTTTTTAAAAGTATTAATGCTTACAGAGTTCTTTTTTTTTTTAAAGGGCAAATACAGCTATTCTACTCTAGTGGATGGAAATAGAGCATTCTAATTTAAATTAATGGTGTGGAAGGCCAAATAAATACCCTAGATGTCAGGCTAAATAAGAAAACAATCCTACTATTATTCTATTTAATATGTTCTTATTGTATGATTGTTATGACTATTTTTGCTAAGGGACTAATATATTATAAAGCAATAATAGACTTTTTTCAAAACCCCTTCTGGATAAGTGGAGAAAGAGAGATCTACATTGAAAGAATCACCATAGAACATTCAAGAAGTTGCCATAGATTGGGATACCAAGACATTGTGAGGGTTGTATGCGATCCATATGAGTTGATATGTATAAAGCACTTAGAAGAGTTCCTTTTACATAGGAACCACTGTATTATTGCTATTGTTGTTATTGTTAAAAACTTCAATAGCTCACAATCCAGTGGTAGAGATAAACACATAGGCTGATAACAAGCAATGTGATAAATAATGTAGCTATGAATAAAAGCCTATGGGAGTTCCCAGAGCGGGAAGAGCGGAGCATCTGCCAGGGAATGAGAGGTGCAGGGAATAAGAGGGTACCCGGAGGTCACATGACTGAGGAATGAGCAAGTTGTTAGAGCCAGAGCAACACCACCTAATTCCTGCAGAAACATTTCATTTGCTGACAAACTTGTAGTACTCAAGGCTCTATTTCTTCGTGTCTCTATGTTGAAAGTTTCCTCACTATTCCAAGCATTCTTGTGACTCTGGCACAGCAGTGGGGCCTTGGCCACTGGGCAAAGGAGCAAGACTTTCACCAAGATGACATGAGAGGGTGGAGGAGACGACTGAAGCGTAGGACGGCGTGACCCAATACTCAAAGGACGTTCCAGCCCCATTCAGAAGTCCAACTGGGATTCTCAGGGCTCGGGAAGGGGAGAGCACATGCCCATCCTCCAAGCTGCAGTCCCTCCCTAGCAGAGCAGAAACAGCTGGGCACAGACTTGGGGATGTGTGCACTGTGGAAGACGGAAGGGCTCGGTGAAGGAGGCAGGCACTGCCCAAGGAGGCCCACTTTTTTCCTCCAAATCCAGGCCAGGTGTCTAGCACACTAACCCAGTGTTTCCCAAGCCAAACAACATGGAAGGCTGCTTAAAAGTCTGCATTCTTTACCACAGGCCATTAACTTTATATGTAGGCAAAATATATTTACGTTCCTCCCATGCTTCAATAAACAGAGTAAAGAAACTTTCTGTGGATAGTTCACTCTGGACCGGTGAAATGAGAACAGCTATTCTGATGGGAATAACTAATGAGACACATACAGAAAAAAGGGGGGGAAAAAGTTAAACGTTAAACAGAAGAACACTGTTGGCAGAATGAAATAGATACAACTTTTTTGGGAAGACACTTTACTATTAGCTATCAAAATGGACCAGACAATTCCACTTTGCCAAATTTATCCTATGTGTATAGTCCTTGACACATATCCAAGGATGAACAATGCTTCATTTGAAAAGAAATTTTTTTTTAAACTGAAACAAGCCAAATGTCCATCTATAAGGTGCTAGTTATGAGGTCGTCTAACATGTAAAGCTTCTCAATGTACATGAAAAAAGCAAAGTTCAGAACAGTCTGTACATTATAATTCTGCTTGTATAAAAACATACACGTACCATATATCTAAATATCCATATTTATATCTAAAATACTGATCTATTTGTATATGTATTAGAATTGCCTGGAAAGATCCAGATGTGACAAATTGGCGTAGGGACAAATTTGTTCTTGAGGAAGATTTGTTGTTGTTTTTTTTTATTGGTTTGAAATTTACATTTGAATGCCTTTAGGAAGGGCTCCCTACTCTATTACATTCCACCCTGTTCTTCCCTCAGTTGTTGCCTGCCTGGCGCCTAAATACAAATGGGGAGAAAAATGCGCATGTGTGGGAGGGAGTAGCTGGAGGGATGTTTTCAGTTTTGACCTTCCACTTCTATACTACAAGCAAACATGACGTTTATGACTTAAGGGAGGGTGGGGTGCGGACTGACGTCTTTCCGTGTGGGAGAGAAGGACTGGAAGAAATTAAAAATTTTGAAAGAAGAGGCACTGATTTGGAAGCTGTTGCTATCGTCCAGAGAAGAAGCAAGGAGAGACGGAACCAGCCAGTAACAGCCAGGATGAACTGTAAAAACCCAGATTTGAAACTTCTCTTTAAATCCCTTGTCATCCGCTGCAGTTGAAAGAATGCGCAGACTCTTCTTTTTTTCTTCCATCTTTCCCCATCATGAAAAATTGCAGCCTCTGGTTTATCACATGGGCCTCTCACTGGGCAGGGCTCTGTTGTGCTCTGTGGGAATCCAAATCTGCTTATAGCACTCCTGGAGAGTCTCATTCTCCCATGCCTGAGAGTTAATTTCTTTTTCTTCACTGTGTTGCTGCCAGCTTTATAGAAAACAGGCGATTTCGGCACCAAAGGTGCAGCAGGAACTCCATGTCCCTGGACAAAGCCTATCAATCGTAGCATCCTGGTCCTTGTTGTCTATCTGGTAGGACCAGTGGTTTCCACAGATGATTTTGAGATATTAGAGACCCTACGGTCTGCAAATAAAGAGTAAAGCTTTCCCTCAAAATAAGAATGAGGAAAACTTTCAAGTAAAATGTTCCCTTGTTTTTGGCAGCAGCTGAAAGACAGCCTGGCGTGAGAGTCCTGGACGCCATACTATGCTCTTTTGTCTGCTGGAAATTCTTCAGTTGAATACAATTATTTATTTGAAAATGGTTCACTGAATTTAGGCTGGTATTTCAGAGACTTTCTCCTCTGTGGTCTCCACAGTGGAGAATGGAGCATGGTACTAAATTGGGGAGATTGGGCCATGAATAAAGTCAGATCCATGATTTACTCATCTCTTTGGTGGGTTCATTTCTGAGAGACAGAGAGACAGAGGGAGAGGCAGGGACTTTACCTTAGGAGGGATTACTTCCCGTCTGCAATCCACTCTCCCCCCATTGCCACTGTCTCTGTCCCACAATATATTATGCCTGTTAGAATGTTCTAGTTCCTCACGGAGTTCACACAAGCATCCCAAATGTCCATCAACTGATGGATTAATAGAATGTGGTCTATGCAAACAATGGAATATTATTCAGCTATAGAGAAAGACTGAAGGACTGAGACTTGATACAATGTGGATGAACCTAGAAAACATTACTGCTAAGTGAATGAAGCCAGACACAAAATATCACATTTGTACAAAATGTTCAGAATAGGCAAGACTATAGAGACAGAAAGTAGATTAGTGGTTGCCTATGGCTGAGGAAGGAGTGGAGGAAGAGGAGTGATTGCTAACGGGTATAAATCGGGTTTTGGGGGGTTTGGTGGTGAATATATTCTAAAACTGATAGTGGTGATGGTTACGTAACTCTGAATAAACTAAAAACCATAGAATTATGTATTTTAAATAGGCAAATTGTATGATATGTTACTTTTTTAAAATAAAGTTATTACAAAACAAAAGGAAGAAAAGATGCATACAAAGAAAACATTAAATTTAAAAAGCTGGACTGGATTATGATATTTAAAAAAGATTTTGGAACAATGAATATTATAATACCATGAATAAAAAATAATTTCACAATGAAAAAGGGATTAATTCATTAAAAAAATCCTACATGTGTATGCATGATAATCGACCATCAAAATAACTGAAGCAAAAGCTGATGGAACTTAGAGGAGAAATAGACAAATCCACAATTATAACTGGGGATTTTAATACTCCTCTCTCAATATTTATTGAGGAAATAGAAAATGAGAATATAAAACATCAAACAATACTATCAATCAACTTGAACTAATTGCCATTTAAAGAAAATTCCACACAACAAAAGTAGAGCACATAGTATTTTCAATTGAACATGGAATATTCACTGAGATAGAGCATACTCTGTACTATAAAACAGGTCTCAATAAATTTAAAAGAATTAAATTCACATGACATGTGTTCTCTAACCACAATGGAATTAAATTATAAATCGATAACAGAAAAATATATGGAAATTCTAAAATATTTGGAAATTAAACAATAGACTTCTAAACAATCCATGAGTCAAACAATAACTTACAAAAGAAGTTATTATGTTTAAACAACACTAAAATAAAAACAACATATCAACATTTGTGAGATACAGATAAAACTATGCTAAGAAGGAAATTTATAGTAGTGAATGCTTATATTCAACAAGAAGAAATGTTTCAAATAAAAAATCCAATCTTCCACCTTAAGAAACTATAAAAAGAAGAGCGAAGTAAACCTAAGTAAGTAAAAATAATAAAGAGCAGAATCAATAAAATAGAAAACAGAAAAATAGATAAAATTAATTTAAAGCCAATTATTGAAAAGATCAATAAAATCAATAAAACTTTAGCCAGACTAATCAGGGAAAAGAAAAAGACAAAGCTTATCAATATTAGGAATAAAACAGGAGAGAATACAGATCCTCAGACATTAAAAATATGAAAAAGGAATATTATGTGTAACTTGATGCCAATAAATCCAACAATTTCAATGAAACAGACAAATTCCTTGAAAAACTCAAACTACCAAAGAAGATCAGTTGAGAAGAAAAAGAAACAGAATATGCCTATATCTACCAAATAAATGGACTTATGGTTAAACACCTTTGCACAAAGAAAACTCCAAGCCTGGGTGACTTTACTGGTGAAGGCTACCAAACATTTCAGGAAGAAATAATCCCAATTTCACAAAGTCTAGAAATAGAAGAGGAGGGGACACGTCCCAACTCATTTTTTGATGCCAGCATTATTCTGTTGCCAAAACCAAACAAAGACATTACAAAAAAAAAGGAAACTACACACCAATATTCTCATGAACACAGATGCAGAAATCCTTAACTAATTTTTGGAAAATTGAATCTAACAACTTATAAAATGAATGATG